GTCACTATGATACTTTGGCACTGCAAGTAACAAAAAAGAGCAGTTTTGTTTGTGGGATGCATAAAAAGTGTTGTGGTCTGAAAACCACATCTTCTGTTGCATAACCAGCTCCTTGGGTGGGCCACAGTGTAAAGAAGGGATGGGCATTTTCAATGACGACTGAAAACCCAGATCAAGGAGGGAGAGAGGGATATCACGCATGCTCAATGGAGGAAGCAGGACTTTTTTGGAAAAAAGAAAAAGGAGAGATGGTGTGTAGATGAGAGAGTCACGAATTTGTTTTTCTTTGTGTGTGTGTGTGTGTGTGTGTTATAGTGAAAGGAGAGAGAAGTGTTCGGAAGGACTAAAATAAACTTTTAAGTTCTTTGCATTGGATTCATAGAGTGTATGATTTATTTCTTTGAAGTTTTTACTCTAAACATTGAGTACTACTTCCTCACAGTGTGGTTTATTGAGGACAAATGTTGCAAATTGGACATCCTTGTAAGACAATGTTACACTGAATGTGAGAAATATCACAAATGATTAATTATGATTCAACCGTTGAAAACACCTTCAGAATTCAGATCACATTGAACAGTTAATAGGGATTAGAGTAGTGTTGAAAGTCAGTAACAATCAGAGTTATTTTTCAGATGGTGTGCACTGGTAAATAGCATAAAAAGTATAAATAGCCAGTACACGCAGTACACAGTATCAACAGTTGCTCAGTAAGAAAAATTCTATATATTCAGGCAAGAAGTCTGGAGAGTCATGTGATAAAAATGAATGAAACAAATTGGGGCACCCTGTCAGCCACAAGTGCCATGGACTAATTGAGACCAACAAAAAGCAAATAGGGTGGAGACTTTCATTTTGTTGTTGGTCTTTTAACAGATAATACTATTCGTTAATTGTCTATTCATGCTACATTCTTCTCAAGAAACAAGGTATAGAGAAGCATTAATGATGATATTTTGAAAGGGAAAGGTAAAAACACGATTACTAAAATAGCACCCCATTCAGCAACTGAAATAGGAAATAAGTTATTCTTAAATAAGTTATTCTTATAAGTTCAATTAGTACTCATTGCACTAATTCTGAATAGTCATGTAGCTTTAATGTGACAATGTTTTGCATTAACTAATTAATGAATTAAATAATTGCATCATTTAGAAGTAATGTAATTGTCAAAGAGAAAAATTATTTAGGTAGCTTAATTAATTAAACATCAAATGAACAGCCAGATTCCTTTATTGGACTATTAAGGCTAAGTAATTTGGCAGGAGGTAGACAGTTAGGCTGCTATCTCTTGTCAAATATAATATGGTATGTCTACATTAATTTATTATTATTCTACTGATCTGAATATTAATTAAAGCTAAATGATCTGCTAAGTTATTGGGCTATATTAAGGCTAAAAGAAAAATGTTATCCTGCATCAATCATTCTACCCATTATGGAGGGGTACTAAATTGAAATACTGATTTTCATGTACTAAAAATAAAAGCACATCATATTTAACAGTTAAACCCTAATGTCTGTGTATAAAACTACACCAATGCCTCTTAATATATGGTATTTATCTAATAGGTAATAAAATACAGTATTGTACCATAATAATATAATCATAGCGAAAGATAGGCAAATTATTGTCTTTTCCTGGATAATTGAAAGTATTATCCAGGAATTTTCTATTAAAGCCACTTAAAGTTGCTTTGTTATAAAGCCACTTAAAGTTGCTTTGTTAAAAGCACGGCTGTGGAGTCGGAGTTGGAGTCGTGGAGTTTTGGTGTTTTAGCTGGAGTTGGATGGTAAGGAAAAGTCGGAGTTGGAGTCAGTAGATTTTTACGTGACTCCACAGCCCTGGTTAAAAGACACTTAAAATCAAAATGAGAGCTGATTATTATATTCATACTTTATCTGATTAGAATATGATAGAGATAACGAAATAGAAGCGCGCTTGGTATAGAGCAGTGGCGGTGGAGAAAGTGTTGCCGAATTAGCGGTAATAATTGGGCTTTTCTTTGGTCTTTGCTGATGGAAGTGTCGTTAGAATACGGCTTGCTGCCTGTTAGACACGCGATAGGCTTAGCAGAGAGAGAGCGAGTGAGGCACAACACCCCATGGCACTCTCCGGGAGTGGTGGTCGAAAGGTGGTGATCCTCATGTTTAGGGTGGTTTTGGTCTAGTGTCTAGTAAGTTCTAAAAAAAACGGCAAAAAATGCCATGGTTTCGAGATTTAGTTCTGAAAATTTTCACTTTTGAATTTTACCCCATTTTTGAGGGTCTCAAATTTTCCACATAGTCATTTTCGGGTGGGCCTATATCTCGCAAAGGGTCACCCGTACGGGCATGGTTCCATTGACTTTTTTGTTCCCATCGATATGCTCTACAGTTTGCTTCCATTCTCAATATGCTACATTTGTTCATGATTTCTGCCCTAGATTCACTACTAGAAAAGTTTTCCTATGAACATCACACTGTGTCCTTACTATGAACTGTTCTCAACATCTGGAAACTATTAAATGCAATGTTTCTTCTTAGCTGTTTTAACAGAGGAAAGGTCAGTGACCCAAACCCTTGCCATTCAAACAGTACCCGAGGGTTAGAATCCACTTTGGGATTCACTGGTTTAATGGGATATAACAATACAACACGTGGGTGGTCTGCCAAGAGGAGAGCCTCTCAGGACGATTTTCTATGGGAAAAATGGTCCCTATATTGGTCGCACGTGGAGTTTCCCGGATTTTCTTCACGTATCTATATTAGACACGTGAAGAAAATCCGGGAAACTCCACGTGGCCAGCCCGTTGGTCGGGTTCAAACCCACGACCAGACCAACCGAGTTCAGTGGTCTTATCCACTTTTCCACTGCAATTGCAAGTTATTCATAAACAGATATTATAATATAATATTCTTCGCAAAAAAAATTGTTTTTACGTTTTATATATAACTAAACTATATTTTAAGTCTGAATTTATAAACATTAATGCGTACAATTATAAATAATCGATGCTAATTACCTCTTCACTAGACATTTTCAAACTTTATACTTGTTTACGTCGCCATTTGCTGTAAAAACGCCCCCTTACGTCATAAGGGTATATGAAAAATTTAAATTTTATCATCGTTTCGAAATTTTTTCTTTTAAATATTTGGTTTAATTTTTAAAATACTTTTAAAATAAAAATTATATTATTTTCTAAAGGAACAGAAAATTATTATAAAAATTAGAAAAAAGGTTTAAATTAACACATCGAATTTAAGTAGATGCGCGCTTACAAATATTTTATCATTTTAATTTTAAAATAATTATCCAGTTAATATTTTTTAATTAAATATATTAAAAGTTTGATAAAATTGCCAACAATTAAGTATTAAATCTAATATTCAATTATAATCAAAATAAATTGCCGACGAAATTCGGGTATTACGAAGACATTTATCACAAACATCGTAAATTCGACCAGGATGGTGCCGAACGTATCCTGGACGAACTGCCTGAGATTTTCTAGGGTTTTTCTCCGACCGGATTCGAATCCGAATCCTCCGGAGCAGTAGGTTGACGCCTTAACCGCTTGGGTCATTTCTTTTTCAACATAATATAAACACGTTATATAAATGACGAGAATTCAATTCTCTTAATTAAAAATCATTTCATTTGGTTTGCTGTTCCAGCCCAATCACGTCCATATCTCCTAGATTTCAACCCCTTTCTTTTCATACATTTCAGTTATATAGTAACATAAAGATCACGAATTCCTTAGCGAATCTTAGGGAAACTGTAATGGAGTTTATCATTTCATACTAATATTGATGCAAGACAATGCATTGAGTTCATCCTAATGCCCAATGAGCACAGAATGAGGTGGTGGGAGTTCAACCATAAATGTCCCGTGCAGCACCAACTTCATAACACCGTTGAATGACTGGTCACTAAGGGATGTCTGGAAATTTACTGATTGGTTAAATATATGTAATTAAAGTTAGAATGTAATTGTTAAGGAAAGCTTTTGAAAAATGAAACATGTGTAATATAAAATTTAATTAACTATGTTACAAAAAGGACATAGGTTTAAAATAGAAATTTGGAACATGTCTTATAAATTGATTTAACTAAAATTGCATTGATTGATTTAGAGCCCATGCACATTACAGACTTTTTGATCGGTCTTTAAATTACATGAAGACATATGTGAGTGCGCACATTCAAACAATTTGAAATCAGCCAATAATAAAGTTTAATGGACAGTACAATTGCCTTCAAACTCAACAGTTTGCAAATGGAATATGGCTAAACAGTTGTAGCAGTGTGCGGGGATGCACTCCAATTCGACTAAACTATTGTATCATAGTTTAGTCTGTAATGTGTGCGGACTCTTAAGTGTAAGTTTTATGTTTATTAATATGAAATAAAATAATGTAGAACTTAGCAGAACATTTAGTAAAATAAAATTATTATGTAAAATTATATCTTAAATTGTAATAAAGAGTGATATTCATTATTTGAAAAATACTGATGGAAAATTAATTCTGAATGAACAAATTTTATATATAAAACTTTATAAAAATTAAGTTTTTTTTAAATATTTAGTTCAAACTAAAGTTTTTTTAAATATTTGATAAAATGGCCAGGATATTAAGTATAAAGTTAGAGGGATGATTTTTTAACATTTTATGTATTGAGGTGGATGAGAAGCCTTGACAGCAAACAGATTAATTTAGATTATGTTCTGAAGTTACACATTGTGGTAAATAGCAAGGTTGTGGCTGAAGTTTTTATCTCTAAAACGTGAGCATCGAATGTCGAGCAGCACTTGATGTTTGACGTTTTTGTTTTAGAGATGAAAACTTTGGCTGCAACCTTGCTAATGTCTATCACTTGACTATCAGATGATATAATAATAATAATATAGTAATGAACATTAAAATATTTTTTCAATTTTATAATTTTATATTTTGGTGTGTAAATAAAATTATTTCATAAATCTCTTAGTAAAAGATAATAATAATGAATTTTTTCATTAGGTTCACCATTTTGTATTGGTTCTGAGTATGAATTTTCATCAGTTTCTGGTTATCCTCACAATACCTATCATGGCCAAACTAGACATTATCGACCAAGCTTAAATATAGAGTTTGGTTCTCCCAGTCGTTTCTGTGATTCTCCTCAGCATAATCCTAGTATTGGTTCTGGTGGTTCTTACACACCACATGTACAGAGTCCACGTCGCAAGTCTTCAAGTGCCAGCAATGAAAGTGAACATGGATATACTAGTTCTAGTTCAGGAATTGGACCTTCACCTTTGGGATTACCACCACCATTAACAGAAAGAACTTCATATATAGAATATAATAGACAGGATAATCAGCATCCTCACCTTCATTATCCAGAATATGGTGGTAGATTGCCTGAAGTTCAGTATCATTGCTTTCAGGAATATCGTGGATCTGTGGATGGTACTTACTACATTGAACGTTATTACTCAGATTATGCTAGACCTGATGTTTATCATGTGGAAAGGATTTATCCTGATTACATTCGTCACCAAGATGGATATCATGCCTATGATAATCCTAGTTCAACGGTAGCTTCTGTGAACGTTCCCGCTGTGAGCCTTGCCCAACCACGTACTCCACAACGCAAAATTTATGCACATCGCCGTACTCCTTCAAATGTATCAAATGCTTCGAGTGCATCATCAAATGTAAACCCTTCCTTCCATCCCGATGATTCCGAACGTCTACCTCCATATTCTCTGTCATCTCATTATTTGCCTCCTGGTTCGCCATTGCCTCCACATCACTTAGGTTCACCTTGGAGGCAAAATAATCACGAACCTCTACCGGATAGACCACTGACTCTCGACATTCCCGGACGTTACCGGTCTTCTGCTCTATGCCGACTACAGACAAATATGGGAAGGACGTCACCCAAAGGTTGGGGTATCTCTTCCAATTCGAGTGGAACACCAACAAACACGACTCCACCCGACAGTATATCGGTTTCGGCTAGTGATGACAGTTCCCACGTTTCACGGGTACGCTTCAACTTCGATAAAACATCAGGGAATGTCAATAAAACTTTAGGTAAAACAGACGAAGAAAAGACATTGCTTGATTTACCTGCAGAAGGTCAATCTCAAGATGGTACTATTCCTCTAACAGCAATGATGCAATTATCACAAAATAAGCAAGGTAGACCCACTGTCCAAGATTTAGAAAAAGAATTTCTTTTGTAGCAAGCATATGGATGTTAGTGGTAAATTGATACATATTAAGAATTGATCGAAAAATTGTGAATTAAAATTCTTCTCATAATTGCCCAATTTGAAAAGAAAAGAAAGAAAAAAAAAAACAACAATAATAACTTTTTATGTAAATGTCATGCTGATGTCATTGTAATTTGATAAGGAGTGACAGCTATCTGAAATGATGCATGTACTAAAAATTAGTCAAGCTTTTTATTTAAACAGTTATTATTATTATTATTATTTAAAAAAAACATTTTTTTAAACAATTAAGCTGCCATCTTGTTACAAATTTAAGTGCCAACAGAATGACATTTATTAAAAAAGAAATGTTATATGATATTTTAAATTTATTCTAACATTCCAATTTAAACAATTCTTTTTCTATTTTCTGTGACTTGATAAAATAATTATAGCAAATTAAGGGAGCAACTAACAAATGACTGTAAATAGTGAACTTTTTTCTTATCTATTGGAAATCTTTGCATTCTTAAGTCCAAGGAACTTAGAGGCAATGCTTTTGACAACTATTTATTTAAAAAATTTTTATATATATTATAAAAAAAAATTGACGTGCAGCTCGAAACACTTAATTTTAAATCGGATATTTCTCTCGTTTCCTAGAACGTTGCCTTTTTAAGAAAAAAAAATAGTTTTTGCAATTATCTGTAAACTCTATGTTATCGTTTATGCATATTCTGCATAATTAAATTTTAATTCAAAGTATTTCTTATCTTAAAAAGTTTAATCGTACAACGTCATAATTTTATATTTAAAATTTCTAAGTAAAAAGTATGCAGATGAATTAAGTTTCTGACAGAAACTTAATATAGTACTCAGGTGGGACGTAATATTGATTTGCTTTGTGTAGTGTGCTGGTCACATTGTCATTTTGAAACATTCCATATTCAAATAAGAAACTAAAAACTGAATAATGTTTTAAAAAAAAACGAAGGGGAAAAATTTGATTCAGTTATAATGGGTGATAATTTCGATTTATATTTGTTATAGTTATATATTATTTTGACTGTATGTTGGTTTATTATTAATTTGAAATCATAAATATTTTTTTAATCTGTAATAATTAACATTCCAGTTTGGTTATATATATATATACCATATTTTTCTTTTGTGATGACAAGTAAATATAAAATTGCAGTATTTAAAAAATTACTTTGTTATTAATACTGTGTTTTTAATCTATTTAGAGAACCAAGCCATATTTTCTTTTGGTATACAGATAAGTGAAGTTTATATAATTAAGGAATTTCAAAAATTTATTTTAATTATTTCTAAACAGATAATTTAAAATTTGACACATAGGGTTAGGTCATCAGTTTTGATCACTTTTAGCAGATTTTGTCACCTTTAGCACTATCGAAACACTCCATATGGGTGCATTTATAAATTAAATTAAATTTTCTTTTTACTTAGTTTATATTGTGTAATGTGAGCATAATGGCTATTTTGGCCATAATAAATAATGAATAAAACAATAAAAATCAACAGCAGATTAAAAATTGATTAAAACTGATGGCTCAACTCTTACAGAAATTTAAAAAAGAAAATTCCTTTAAAACATTTTCTAATTTTTATTTGTACCTTGTGGCTTGGATGCTTATTAATTGTGCATATTTGGTAATTATTTTATAGCAAAATTATAATTAACTTTAATATATATACATATATATGTTTTATTGTATCATGATTGATTGACTGTCTTTCATTTTTATTTATAATTTTGATTATCAGGGAATAGAAGAATCTCTTAAGAAAAGAAAAAAAAAGATTCTTTAAAGTGATCAGAATAATACACAGCAAAAAATAATATAAGATAAGCAACAAGTATGCTTTACTTTGTGATGTGTAAGTAAATACAGGCTCAAAAAATGAACATCTGCAAATAATTAGATATATCATGTGTATATGTATATATATATTATGGAATTTCTCAGCACAAAATATTTCATTAGGGAAATATTTTAAACTTAATTTGAAGACATGGGAAGTGCCTACTTTTAAACAGTTATCATCTAATAGAATAATTTTTGAACCTGGCACTAATTCCAACTTTCTCTATTGAAACGAGAACGAAATCATTTTTTGATGATGCAAAAATTACCGCAAGAAAGTTCCTAAACGTTTCTCATTTGTCAAAAAATTAACATTGTAAGTTTGCCGTTAGAAACGCTCGCACGCATATTTGTTTGATTTTGGTAAATATTTTTTGTTTTGTCATAATTAATTTTTTTAAACAGTTGAAATTAAAAAACTAAAATAGAGGAAGTTGGAAAAAAAGCTGTAAATAGATATAACTTGTTAGTACAGAATGATAAGTTAGCACAAAAGCTATTATATAATGAGAATTTCATGATTATAATAAATTTTTTATCATGTTAATTATTACTTAATTGGAATAAGTAATAATGCTCAAAATACTCTCTTGAGAAACTTAGAATTTCCCCCCATAAGAATGCAGCAAGAGTTTGCTCTTTCTCCCCCCCTTAAACTGCTGCTTATGCTTGTTAAATTGATTTTTCTACAGCCATAGATTACAGAATTGCAACCATTTGGCACAATCAGAACTTCGAAATTACACATTTTAAGTATTTTTTTAAACAGCAATAACATATCAGTACTAAACTGAATTATATATAGCCTTTAATAAATCAAAGACTTTTGCATAAGATATATTTCATTATTTTATGTCATCCGTAAGCTTAGATATTTATTACAAAAGAAAAAAAATGATATTTTGGAATTGTTATTTCATTAATAAAAACTAAAAATTAATTTATAAACAATTATAATAAAAATTACTAATTTGTAAGTATTAATAAGTGTTTGTAACATAGAATTAAGGCAAAAAAAAATTAATTTAACTGACTTGAAACTAAAAAAGTTGAAAAAAAATAATGATTAAAATAATAAGAATCATTGATTAATAGAATTTGATAGCATATTTTGAGACTGATAGTCATAAAAAAAATCCTTTATTACTTTCACTCTTAGATTACATTTCTGTGTTATTTTAATTTAATAATACTGTATCGGTGCATTTTTCTTAGATACGCCCATACAATACCAAGCATTTTCATAAAACTTTTTTAAAATTAAAAGCAAAAAAAAAACAAATACACTGCAATCCTTGTACAAATAAATGCTTATCAATAGATTTAAAGCTGAATAGTCATCCGTAATTTAAATGCGAAGTGAAAACTTGTTTCTGAAGATATTTATTCAAGTAGATTATTGTTTAAATTTAAAAAATCTTTTTGGATTAATCATAGCAATGATGCAGATTTCCTATATTATTTTCTGAATGTCTCATAACCATATAAACAGCTTCGGTTCACTTGCACTGAATATAACTATGCACACTAAGCTGCCATTTATTAAATTACAAGGTTTTAGTTTAGTATATATAATTGATTTGTCTTCCACTCATTTATTTTAATTATTAAAATTTGTTAAAATTAATACTCAGTTTTGAAACAAAGTCACTTATATTTTACAAATGTTTTAGATTTATTTAATCCATCTTTTTGTGTCAAAATGAAAGAATAGCCTTTGATATATAATAGCATATGAATTGCAATTATGCTAATATTTTTAACACAAAGTAAAATCAATTATATTTTGCTTATATTTGTGGTTTAATATGACATATTTTATAAATGACAGATACATAATTAACCTCAAACACATTCGGGCGACTTATTTATTTCATATTAATGCTTTCATAGCTTCGTCTTCGGATGCTCTTAGATTGTTCATTTGAACAGAATAGTAAAGAACTGTTTAGAACTTAGTCTAAGAGCATCAGAAGATGAAGTTTCTAAGCTTTGAATACATTAAATGTGAAGGAAATAGGACTTTTTCTTATATGTTAGAGGTCTGTTGTGTGGCATTAATGTATTTTATATTTATTTAATATGAAACCTAATTTATATGAAAATTCTTCCATGTCTTTACAGTTCAAATATGCATTAAGTAAACCAAAAAACATTTGTAAAATTTAAGTAATTTTGAGTGTTCAAGTATCGACAGAATACTTTACATAAGCTCTCTTCATTGATAGGTATTTTCATAATATTATAAAAGGGAACATTGTTAAAAAAAATGAACTAATGTACAAATTTACAATTGCTTTAGCATTAATTTACTTTCATAATAATTTAAAAATTATTATTATTATTATTATTATTATTAACTCCTTGTTTGCTTAATATTGATGTAACATAATTTAGCTTTTTAGCGATTTAATGAATTAGCCGAATATTGATTTTTATTTATTGTTTGTGATGGAATAAAATGCTAATTATCACATCTTATGCACACAGATTTTGTGCCTTGATAAACTTTTGTTGTGCATGTAAAAATGAAGAAGAAAAAATGTTTTTGACATTGCTTGCATTAGCAGTTTACATGCTCAAAACTAATTTGTAATTTGATTTCCTTGATAATTTATATATATATGTATGTATATGAAATATAAGAATATCAGTTAATTACTAACTTGAATATAAAAAAAAAACAATTAATTTTTATATGAAAGTGTTCAATAGAGTAAAAATAAACTAGAAAAGCAATATGCTGAGATGAAACCACACACATTTTTTTATATTACAATTTTTCATACAGTATATTGAATTTCTCATTTCGTAACAAAAAGAAAAAAATAAGTTACACCAATAAAAGTTGTGCCAAAATTCTCACTAGGAAAAGACTCCCAAATTCTTACTATACAGTACGCTGATAAGTAATAGATGCTAAATGTCGACATCTTTTCGTCGATGCTAAAAAAAAATTAACAGAGATTACTTTATAGGGGGAAAAATTTTTAAATCCTTACTCGGGCACGATATGCAAGACTTAAATTTTACGTTTTTAATTTATCATTATTGTATATGAGATTAATTTGAGTTGAAAATGGAAAATTATAGGTAATTATGTATAACATTTAGGATACGTAAGGAGTCAGATGTAACTATTCTTCTCAGTTTAGTGCATTGTTATTTTAAAGGTTACATTAGTTAAGGTAATAAATGCCACAAAGAAATATTCTTTGTGGCATTTATTCATTTCTGTAATATAAAAAAATTTA